AAGACTTAAATTTCAAAGCTTGAATTTTCTCACTCCTTTCTTCAGAAAGTTAAGGAAAAAATGCAGCTATCAAATAGCACCAGAAAGGAGACAAGAGCAACATATAGTCAGTAAGATAAAGCCTTGATTACCTATAATTGGAGATCCAGATTAGTATAGTGGTTAATAGCATTTAGCAATAGCACTTACTTATATACCGCTTCACAGGGCTTTACAGCCCTCTCTAAGCAGTTTAGGGAGTCAGAATATTGTCTGCAACGACTTGGGTCCTCATTTTACCCACCTCGGAAGGATGGAAGGCTGAGTCAACCTTGAGCCTGGTGAGATGTGAACTGCCAAACTGCACGCAGACAGCAGTCAGCAGAAGTATCCTGCAGTACTGCATTCTAACCACTGCATCACCACGGTTAAGATATCAGGCTAGAAACCAGAAGATCTGGATTCTAGTCCTGTCCTAGACACAAAGCCAGTTGAGTGACCTTGGCTAATCATTCTTTCTCACCCCTTAGGAAACAGACAATGGCAAACCACTTCTGAAAAAAAAAAGTGTCAAGAAAACTGCAGGCAGTCTCCCATAATTGGACACAATTGAATAGAAGGGAAAACTCTATAACTGGCCTTAAAATATTTAATTGATAAAATACGTTAAGAGTCAACATTTTGGTACATGAATCTTGTTTAAATAGGAATTTCCATCCACCATATATCATTCTGGATTGCTGAAACCATCATTAAATGCCAACATACCTGTAGTAATTACGAACACTTTCCAGGCTAGGCATGTTGAATGTATCTGCAATGAAAATGGCAAACATTTCAATCCAATTTCATGATAAAGCTAGGAATAAAAAAGGTAGTCTAAGTTTTAAAAAAAACATTGCATTATGAACTTGAAAGAGAAGCAGGATGCCTAGGGAGGAAAGCAAGATTTATTGCACAAACCAAAGACTAAGATGCTTTTTGGGAAAACTAAAATTATATTATTTAAGGAAATTTACAAAAGAATAGGCAAAATAAAATTACCACAAAAGCTAAATAAACAATATTCTCTTACCTTAAAAAATATATATACTTATACTTTGCAGACAAAGTGATTCCAGACTTTTTTAAAAAATATGTCATGGTATATAAATGATTTAAATAATTTATATAATACCCTGCCCTTCTACATAAGACAAACCTGGGGACTGAAATTTAAGGAGATGCTGAAGGGAGGGGCATTTGTCGGGAACAAACACTGAATTTCTAGAGTTTGGTGTGCCGGTACAGACATTTGGAGTATGCAGGACTGCTTGCTTCTTACTTCGTGGACTCAGTGCCTTGTTCCTTACTTTATGGACTCATTGTTTGTTCCTTGGTTTGTGGACTCATTCATTGTTCTTGTTTTGTGGACTCATTTCCCTGTTTCTTTGCTTTGCTGGATTGGGCACAGCCAGAGGCTGCCATGTGTGCGAGTACATGGTTTGCTCTGGGACATGCCAAGAACGTGGGAGCATTTGGGGGGAAGTTTGGAGCATTAAAGGGGAGTTTGAACTCTCAGCTGGCTGTGTGACCTTTGTGCCTTGTCCCAGGTCATCACATTACATGAGGGGTTATGACAGTCTAGCATTTCCTAATGATAAGCATAAAATTAGAATTATAAGCGTAAAGTCTTGCTTCTCTCTTACCATGATTTCCTTTGATATCTATCCATTTCGTTTTTTCCATGACCTTAGATCTTTTTAGGATTGTCTGGTAAGTTTGCCACTCCACCTCAATCTGATCAGATCCAAATCCATCCTTTGTTTTGGCATCAGTCAAGTCACCTGCTTAGTGAATAGAGAAGTGCTCCAGAACCCAATGAATAATAGAAGAATGCAGAATAAACCAAATGCCAGTGACAGCAAGCTATTTCGAAATCAGGTTTGACACCTACTGCAGTGTATTATCACCTTATTATAACTGTGTGTGCTTCCTTTGAATGTACAGAAAATGTCGGTATTTGCGCTCTACACGTTTTTACATAGGATTGTAAAAGGCCACATGTGGCCCTTTAGCTGTCCCATGGTAGTGGCCAGAGAAGTGGGGGCAGCAGTGGCATCTCTACGTAACAGTCCCAGTTTTTTTCTGTGGTCTCTTGGGGAAATTAATTCTTTACCCCTGCTCTATAGCATATCAAAATTTGCAAAATCTTGCTTTGGGCAGACCACCTGACTCTTCCTATCAGTAAACATAATAAATCATAGATAATGACATAAATGCTTTCATTAGGACATTGTCTAAACCAGGGAATCTGGTTCAGAGCAAGATTTCTGAAGAACAAGGCAGAGAAGACAGCTTAGCTTGTTAATCGGCTCCTATCCCAAAGTTGACTCTGAACAAAGTCCTTTAATTTTAAATTCTATTAACCATATAGGAATGAGGCACAATGCCATACCGCACTGTAGATGAGCATGCAGTTCGGTGGTCTAACCAGTCATCCAAACCTAGATAGCTTACCAGCTGCTGCCAAAGATACTTTAGAAGTGGCTTGAAATATATTCATAGACTTCCCACACTATAAAAAAGGCTACCTATCATCTAATAAACTGCAACATCATCAAGAAATGCTAGTGAGTGACCCTCAACTAGCCAATCTCTTTTCTTAACCAGCCGCATGTAGTATTTATATCTATCTATATCTATATAGATTAGCATACTAACAACAGTCCACTAATCTTAACTAGATTAACTCTGTTTCTAAGGTCAGCAAATAATAATATCTATGGAGTGTTTCTTGGAAGAATTCAGATAGACTAATATTAATTCTAACCAGCCATTCAACATGTCTGTATGTGTATATGCATTTAAGTGTACAATAAATGATGAATACAGAATGTCGCACAATCAGTAGCAATAAAACAATATGATAAACACCGTTGGAAAAACAAAAAAGTCCAAACTCTTAAATATGCAAGCCAGGCTTTCCACTCCAGGCAAGACATTTTGTTGTGCATATGATGATTGAAAAAAAATTCATTTAGTGCCAGTCAGGCTCTTTCAGAGGGTGAGGGATCTTAACAGAGCTCTCAGACAAGTATTTAGGCACAAAATCTCCTGATGGGGCTGACATGTTAATATAGTTTTGAGAGATATTACTTCAACTACTCAATCTGACTTAGAGCCATGGACTTTCCTTGTGGTTTCCCATCTAAAACTAAACTGGTTCAACAGCCCAGGTTAACTTTTTGAAATTAGTCAATGTTACCTAATTTTAATCAGAGGACTTAGTCTAGATAAACTGCACATTTACTTTTGTCTGTAAGAGAAAGCAAATATGCAAATGCAAAAAGTGGCAGGAAGAGGAACTGTTTCTGGTATGCTCAGAACTTATGTAATAACCTTTTCAGTGGCACAGCTTGTTTTTGGTTTTTTTGTTTTTTTATTTGAAAGGCGGTCCTACCAAACAAGTAACCAGCACTGCAGCATATTTCCCAAAGAATTAGGCAGGGTGTAATATAAAAATGAAACAAAAATAACTCACCTGTTACTAATGTAACAGCAGGTTGAATTATGGGAATTGTTTCCTTACAGAACTTCTCAAAATCAGAAGTTCGTCTGGGACTCACAAACTTACTGATGTGCAGATCCGATACCTACAATAACAGACTGACATTTAAAAAAAAAAGAAATAAGGCTACCTTGTAACACTTTACAAAAACAGTTGTGTACCAGAAAGGTATACAAAAAAAGTGTCAACTGGAAAAAAAATCTTGATTCCAAACAATAATAGTTTAATTTCACAACTAGCCCTTTTAGATAACTCAGTTTCCTGAACATACAATAACACACATCTTTTCCCCTAGTGTATAGCAGAACAGAAGTCAGCAGCGATTCTTCAGGGTTTTCCCCTCCCACTTCCTCAAAAATACAAATGCACAGTATCACCAAAGAGGTTACAACCTTTCTGACTACGGTTCGTAAACAGCTTATTCAAATCCTCCCAAATCCAGGAAATTGGAAACGTTACTTCCTCTTTATTGATCAGAACTACTCCATTTCCTACTCTTTCGTTACTCCTCAATAGTTTTTCTCCGTTTTATCCTCTCCTTTTACCATTTCCCCCCCTCTAGTCTTCTGAATCTCGGAGGAGGAGAAAACCGTTATCTTGAAACTGGAACGTAATCTTGGTTAGTCGTGTATGATTCTATCAAAATCAGAGCAGCTTCTAACGGGTCCGGGCAATTGAAAAAGAAACCAATGCCGCTGCTTTTACCCGTTGTAGCCGGAAAGCCCGGCAAGCTTCCACGCCGCCACTTGCCTGAATCATCCAGAAAAGGTTGTTGGCTTTCGCCCCGGGCGCCGGCTCGGAAGCGAAAGGGCGAGGTGGGAGCCGGGGCTTTTGTGGTCCCGCAAAACTGTACCGATCCATCAACACTGTCACCGTCACCAACGTGACCGCCAGCAGCCCAGCCAACAACCGCAGCATTTTCGACCGGCTTTTCCACATCCACTGCCAGGCGTGAATCAACGGTGCCGGTCTTCCACCGGCAACAGGCCACAGCCACCCGCTTCCTCTGCGGGCTCCTATGCCAATCAGATTGTATTAGCCCGCCCCTCTCGGGTCTCTATTGGAGGACGGAGAATCCCTTCGCAGCGTCCGTCCCCGCCCCGCAGCGGCATGGCAAATATGGGTGATCTATTAACTGGATTAAGGTCGCCTGGGAATCTCAGGCTCCTCCCAGAATAGAATAAAACAGAACGGAATAGAATTCTTTATTGGCCAAGTGTGATTGGACACGCAAGGGGGTGCATATGCTCTCCAGTGTACATAAGAAAAAATAAAATACATTCATCAAGAGTCATAAGATACAACACTTAGTGATAGTCATAGGTTACTATAAGCAATCAAATCATACATAGGTTGCTAATACGCAACCAAAACATACCAGGAAAAGAAATAAACAATATAAATTGTAAAGATACAAGCTACACGGTTATAGTCATAAGTGGGAATAGGAAGTGTGAGAAGAATAATAGGAATATAGTCTTACTAAGTAATTTGACAGTGTTGTGAGAGTTATTTGTTTAGCAGAGTGATGGCTTTCGGGGAAAAAAACTGTTCTTGTGTCTAGTTGTTCTCATGTGCAGTGCTCTATAGCATCGTTTTGAGGGTAGAAGTTGAAACAATTTATGTCCAGGATGTGAGGTGTCTGTAGATATTTTCACAGCCTCTTTTTGACTCATGCTATATACAGGTCCTCAGTGGAAGGCAGGTTGGTAGTAATTGTTTTTTCTGCAGTTCAAATTATCCATTGAAGTCTGTGTCTGTCTTGTTGGGTTGTAGAACCAAACCAGACAGTTATAGAGGTGCAGATGACAGACTCAATAATTCCTCTGTAGAACTGAATCAGCAGCTCTTTGGGCAGTTTGAGTTTTCTGAGTTGATGCAGGAAAAACATTCTTTGTTGTGTGTTTTTTAATGATGTTTTTGATATTAGGTGTCCATTTTAAGTTCTGAGATATGATAGAACCAGTGGCGGGATGCTACCAGTTCTGCCCAGTTCTATAGAGCTGGTAGCTCTGAAGAACGGCAGACACAGAACCAGTTCTGTGTTTGTTGCTGTTTGGCCCACCCTTCCACCCAGGCTCTTACCTGTCCTTTATTTCCTGCTTTTTCAACCTCAGCTGCTTTGCGTGACACAATTGAGATTGAAAAAGCAGGAAAAAAGAGGCTTTTCAAATGCTGCACACCCACACACAGCGCTTTTCAGCTGTCTGGGCAGCACAGCCTAAGGTTATTTTACATGCACGTGCAGTGTAACCACCGAAACGGTAGTAATGTCAGTTGAATCCCACCCCTGTATAGAACCTAGAAACTTGAAGGTATCTATTGTTGATATTGTGTTGTCTAGTATTGTAAGAGTTGGTAGTATGGGAGGGTTTCTCCTAAAGTCTACCACCATTTCTATGATTTCAAGTGTATTCAGTTCAAGATTGTTCTGGTTGCACCACAAGCTAGTTGTTCAACCTCCCGTCTGTATGCTGATTCATGGTCTCAAGTGAGACCAATTACTGTTGTATCATCTGCAAACTTCAGTACTTTAACAGAGGGATCTTTTGAGATGCAGTTGTTGGTATATAGTGAGAAGAGAAGTGGAGAGAGCACAACAGCCCTGGGGGAGCTCCTGTGCTAATTGTACAGTTTTCTGATGTGATTTTGCCTAGCTTCACCTGCTGCTTCCTGTCTGTTAGGAAGCTTATGATCCATTTACAAGTGTGGTACAGCTAGCTGGTTTATGAACCATTTACAAGGTACAGCTAGCTGGTTTAGTTTAGTTAGAAGCATGTCTGAAATGATGGTATTGAATGCTGAACTAAAGTCTATAAAGAGGACCCTTGCGTAGGTCTTTGGAGATTCAAGATGTTGTAGGATGTAGTGCAGAGCCATATTAACAGCAAGAAATAATTATGTGTTTAGATGGTTCTCTTGCAAAAAGTTGTGCCTCACGTTGGGCACGTGATTTTGACCAGAAAAATAGCAGTTGCCTGAATTGATTGGAAAATGTTGAAGAGAGCACCCAGGCAGATAGACAGATTGACTGATCGATTCCTAGATAGTTTTCTTCTAGATGGGAAACATTAAACTTTATGTTGGATTATTCATTAATTTGGGATTAAGGAACAAAACATTGCTTGGATTTAAACTCTGTCTGCCTTAAGGCACTTTTGCAGGATAGGGAACATAATTATTATGTGAACCTAAGTATTGTGGTTTGTAAACCTCGGATAAGTTTAGCAGGTCAGGTGAACCTTATCAGTTACAGAAAAGAAGAAAAAGGAAGAGTGATGAAAATTAAATGGGACTAGGCAGTTCAGGTATCTGTTGCTTTGGGACAGTGCTTTTGTCTTTCAATTTCTTACCTTTATTAATAGAATTTTATGAGTGTCCATACATTGTTTACAGTCATCCTGTTTCTCATGAATTTATAACCTTACGTTTTCCATACTTTTCTTCAGAGAAGAAAAAAAGCTTAACTAATATGCATATGCTATTTTAGTTACTTTGTGTCATAGACTACTTTGTACTTATTTTAAAGTTTCATACCCAACCAGAAAGACACTAAAGTTATAAAAGGAACAATAGGAATAAATCAAAATTATAAAAAGTACAGTAATAATCTGCTTTCAAGAAATAAACACCTACAACTGAAGAATGGAATGGAATGGAATGGAATGGAATGGAATGGAATGGAATGGAATAGAATAGAATAGAATAGAATAGAATAGAATAGAATAGAATAGA